CCAGCAGAGAGAGGCGGAACATTCTGTCCCGTCATGCTGAACGCGGAAGGAATTTTTTTTCAAAGCAGCTAATGCCGTTGTTTACACTTGGGGTTCCTATCTTTACCTCTGCTTAGAAAAGCAGGTGATTCAGTAATAATAATAAAAAAAAAATCTTTTAATTCTTCTTCAGGGCCGCTTTAATTAAATATATTCTGTCTTTATCTGATACCGTGAATTCCAGCAGATCACCCGTAATGAGTCTTTCTTTAAAGTAATGAAAGATTGACGTTGAACAATTGTGAGAGGGTTTTGTTTTACCTGATGTTTTGGCAAAGCTACAAAACAAGACCGTTTCCCAAAGCCCGCAAATACATGTTTAGCATAAGCACTGCATACGATAGTCAAAATACTGATGTTTAAAATTTAGCACTTGTGTAATGATTTGTAAATCACGTCTCGGTTTGTAAACTTAGTAGGGTTTTTAATATTAAGTACATTAGAACTTATTGCATGTGCTGCAGTCATCTTCTCCATGTCGCTCTAGGAGGAAGGAACAAGAGTTTTGTCTTATGGCTGTTCCAGGAAAGGTGGCGGCTTTCCGTCTGCCTCCCCTGCCAACTGTTGGAGAGATTATTAAACTTTTTCGCCTTAAAGCACAGAAACAACTTTCCCAGAACTTTCTACTGGATTTGCGATTGACAGGTTAAATGTTTTATTTTAATATTTTTAGCTACTATAAAAGATGTATCCCAGTTTTCTTCAGAATCCAGATTCTAGCTAAGGAGATGATTTTTGCATGATGATGTCTGTCAAACTCATGACAGCTCAATGGTAAACTTTTAAAGACTTCTTTTAAAAGTAGTTTTAGTTTAGACGAATTGATTTTACTTGTAAATTCCTAGAAGATGTGTTTCTTTATAAATTATAGAGTAATTTTTAGATAGAAACTATATTCCTGTATAAAATATGAGCTATAGATTGAAATGAAAAAATCCAAGCTTTAGTAGTACTTTTGCCATTCAGGTACTATTATAGTTTATAAGTTTGATTCAAAAATGAGTAGTTTTTTCAGCTTATTATGTATCATAGAAAGTACTGTAACTCATTGTGCAGGTTAATTTTCTGTATACTGTGGTTAGGAAGGTCATTTGTCTCAGCTTATCAGAAATGTTGTGGCTTTTTTGAACCAGCTACGTTGTTCTGAACAATTCGGTTTTCTCCAGCTTCACGTCAGCAATAGGTGACAAAGCTGGCAGTGCTCAATCAGTGGTGAGTTTCTTTACTGTCCTAGCGGTGTCTGGGTTTTGCAGTGATAAATGCAGTGCAGCTTCATGTAACTGATGATTTGATTACATTTGAAGACTTGGGTTGATAAAGATTTAGGATATGAACATGAAACTCAGTTCCACTTCCTGAACAACTGGACTCTTACCCTTGAATAAAAATAGCCATGTGCATTTAGTAAAACCTTACAAGTAGACGAGTCTTCGGATATTTCTTGTTTTTATTGCATACTTAAGAAATTACAGAGTGAGCCACATAATGTCTTTCAGCATCCCTCTCTCCATGCTTCCTAATGATCTCTTTGTTTCATTAGCTACGTTTTTAATCCTTATTTTAATCCTTTTTCAATCCTTAATCTGTTTTCTTTCCTGGCTGTAATGCCTTCCAGTGTTGTATCCTTCCACTTATGTACAGGTATTCTTTCCTCATCTTTCAGCTGCCCCACTTTCTGTAACTCCCAGTTGCCTGTATTCCAACTTTTACTTTACTCCAGCTCCTCCCTCATAGAATTGCTCTGTACATATTGTAATCTTTATAGAGCTTCACTGTAACTTTTTTGCTTCTTAAATTTTCTTGAAACTGAGGTACTGTAGTGAAATACCTTTATAAGGATAAGTAGTGAGACTTTAGGACATTGAACACAAGTGCTTACTTGCAGGAGGAGAATATAGAACTGCTAGTTTACAGATGATAAATAATACTCTTTTTTTTTTTTTAATTCTGTAATGAGAAACAACGTATATTAAAGCCATTAAACTTTAAATAGTCTTTTTTTAAACAGCTGAGTGTATCTTGTAGTATGAAACAAATCTGAATTCTGTGCAGTCTAGCAGGCGTGCGATCATTTAACTGGGATGTGTCACTGTTTGTGTCTGTTCTGAGATAAGCACACTTGTGCTTTAACAATAAACAATGAGTTTATCTTAGTGAGCTGGATCTTTTGGAGAATAAAGGCTTAGTATGTTCTTTGTGTCTTGCAGACAAGATAGTGAGACAAGCTGGCGAGCTGAAAAATGCCCATGTTTGCGAAGTGGGCCCTGGGCCAGGAGGAATTACCAGATCCATTCTCAGTGCTGGTGTTGAACAGCTCCTTTTAATTGAAAAAGATGCTCGATTTGTTCCAGGATTGCAGGTACCATCTGAAGAATAGTTTGTATAAATGTATCCACAACATCGAATAAGAACATTTTAAGAAAACAGAAAGGTTCCAAGTAACTTGTTGAGATCTCAGCATTGAAAATAGGTTTGCTTCTTTGGCTTAAATCAGAGCTATCATTTGTTTGAAGATGAAAATACACAGTATTGCAATTAATTGCTCCTGCTTTCTCATATGCCTTTTCATTTAAATACCCACTGTCTCTTCAGGGCCTGATCCTGCAACAGAATTAAGGCTGAGGTGTGGCTGTTTTTTCAGGTTGAGACGTTTCAGGTGCTTTAAAGGTCTATCCGTGCACGTGAAATAGTAGTTTGAAGGCAGAACGTAATGTCCTTTGGTCTTATTTTTCATTTTAACCCTAATAATTATGCTTTAAAGCTTATAAAATTGTGAACGTATCTCTCCAGTTAATATAGTTTAATGTGGATTAACATCCACATACAGAAGAATAAAGCAAGCATTTATTTTACATTTTCAAAAAAAAACACTCTGAAACTTTTGTTCCTTTCTTTTGAAGTTGGTATAAGTTCACAAGTCATCATGGCATTTTTGAGACACCATCTACTTGTGTTGATGAAGTTTGGCTGTATAAATTTAGCAGGAAAAACTGAGTCAAAAATCTCTTCAAATTTGACTGTTTTCTTGTGCCTCTACAACCTCAAATCACAGCAATTCAAAGGGCTTTCCATATATCGTACTGTGTCTTCTGTAGTAAATCAGCAGTGAAAATAAATAGGTAGTTCACTTGAGAACAGCTACCATCTCTTTGTAGGACAAAAACAATGTAAGATATGAATGAAACTGCTCATATCCTTAAACCTGAATATGCATGTAACTATGTCTTTGTAGGGTTAGCCATTGATAATTTACAGTATGCCATCTTTGCCTTGTGAAGTACGAAAACATTATGTTTTCACTTTTCTTGAATGGTGGCAAATCTGCATTTTTGTTTTAGATTTTAAGAACTGTTTTGGGATTGGAGACTATTTGAGGTTAAATGATACTTACTTTAGTTAACAAAGTTTTTTAAGTACTTAGACAATTTTTCCGGTCTTCCAAAATGCAGCCACTTCAGATTTCTCTGAATAAAAGTGTACTTTTCAGGGTCTTTAATGAGCTTTTGGTATGTCATTATCTTTACTATTCAAGTGAATTAACGTTAGTTGTTATATTTAATTAGCAACCTCCTCACAGTAGAAATAAATATGTCTGAATGAGGTTATTGAATATAAAGATGCTATAACTCAGTAACAGTGGATGTAAATGAACAAGAAATATGTTGCATCCATTAGTGTTAAATTTGGTATTGTTTTTTTCCCTCCACATAAGACGATACATAACAGAGTCTTTGTTTTGTGATAATGTGGGTTGTAATAGCTATTTTTTTTCTGGTTTCCCATTAGAAGCTCTATCAAAACCAAATGCTTACAGAAGGGTTGAGATTTGAATAACAGAAAATGTCAGAGATTAAATTAACAATTGGGGACTTTTACTTAAAAATATCTCTTTAGATACTTATAAAATCACTGATGTAAAGCGTACAGCTTTTTTCATTAACTGTTTGTTTTTCTATCACAAAACTGAAGTTGGGATCCTCTTTACTGCAATACTGAAGTATAGTGAAGAACATATGTGTACAGAGTAACAGTTTACACAAGCTGAGAGTCTGTCAGTTCTGTCTTGCTCTTAAAGAATCACAACCTCACTATGCCATATGCCCTAATAGTTGTTAGGCTGGAAAGATTTATGAGGAGAGAAAGGGTGCTCTCAGCTAGAGAGTGGATTGAATATAGAATTCTTCCAGGAACACCATTTTAATTTTTTCTTTGTGCCTTTTTGGTTGTGTGTGAAGAACAGGAGGATCTGTATGATGAGGAATCACCTTGCTTGTGTGCTTGGTGCACAAGAGCTCCTGGAACTGTGTTAGATGCACACATTGGCCTTAAAATGGAGAAAGTTTCAGTGGGTTTCTGAGTCTTTATTTCAAATTAGAAATATACAACTGTGTTTTTCTGGTCACAAATTAAATGCAGTTCTCAATTATGTTAAGTGTGATACTCAAAAAAACCCCAAACTCCTCTTGACATGAAAGCCATTATTAAAAAACAATATAACATATGTTAATAATCCATTATTGTGTAGGCAGCTGTCTGCTTTCTCTTATGCTATTTTCTAACTTTATTGATCTTACATTATCTTTCATCCTGTTATAGCATTTATAACAGCTTCAAAGAAAGATTTGAGAAATCATGGCCGATTAGTGAATTTGTATGCAATATAATTGCTAGTGTAATGCTGAAAAATCTGTTAAGTGGTTTGGAGTTGAGGTTAGATTTATTTTTTCTATTTGGAAATAATTGCTCTTAAAACATGGAACACTTTTTTTTTTTTAGCACGCTACATAAAATTTAGCTGTTTTAACAGTAAAATAAACCTTTACTCAAAAAAATTTCATGCAAACATTTTGTGAACAGTATGAGAAAGCAGCACTTTCCTTTGGCTCAGAGACCTGTGAAAGCTGTTTGTGCCCCTGAGCATGTTAACACGATTCAGATTGAAGATGGAACAATGGTGAGCAGTTTATTTCAGCAGTTAAGCCACTAGCACTTAACTGTTCATGGATTTGGATTTCTGTGCAAAAGCAAAATTGTTCTTTAAGCCATTTTTCATTATTCTGACTTAGGAACAATAAATATACCCAAATGTCATCTTTGTAAAAGTTGACTTGGCTTTTGAATTGTGCTGTTTGTGCATAGTTTCATACTGTAAGAGAAAAGATGAGTACAACACTAAACAATGTAACTAATTTTGATTGTGTAAACTGACACCAGAAAGAATTGGCCATCAAACTACAGCCGGTTCTGAGTTTGCCTTTCAGCCTTTATTAAATACTAGATAAGCTGCAGAAGTGGGATAGAGAAGTTGACAACAGAGTGGATTTTGTAACATCTAACAAGATACAAATTTTTGAGATTTTCTTAAGTGCTAGGTATTCATTCCCTCATTTTTGGGAACTCCTTGGTTTCTAATGGTGTGAGTTCAGACTACTACAGGGAGTATTAAGAGAATCTTTTCCCCCTTTTTTATGTAAAAGAAAAAATGACTGAATATTTCTGCAGCCTTGTATCACATATGGCTAAAATTGGATAATGGACTCTACAGCTACAGGGGAGAGAGAATAAACAACATGAGCCTTGTTTCCATAGGTAATGGATGTAAAAACTTTTCAAAACCTGCTGCTTGCATTATTACTTAAATCAGGTGGGGTCCTGTTAGTGGCCCCAGGTTTGTTAATTGTCGTTGTTGAAGAGACTCTTAGCAGTCTTTTTCAAGTTTAAATTCCCTATTGAGAATTCTACAGCTGTGAATAGTAAGCATTTACAGAATCGAGCATTAAACTTTTTTGATAGTGTTTGCTTTTTGAAAGTAAATACTTACTAATAGCGTGCTCAGTTTTAACTGCTATTGTGCTTTTTTGTGTATTGAAAATAAATACATAGCGATGGTTTCATTCCTGTTGTGGCTGAAGCTGGAAATCAGTTTGGTTAATACTCACTGTTGAATTCTGCTTGCTTGCTTACAAACAGATGCTATCTGAAGCAGCTCCAGGAAAAGTGTGCATTGTTCATGGAGATATTCTGACATACAAGATGGAGAAGGCTTTTCCAAAGCACTTAATAAAGAACTGGGAGGACGGTTAGTATTTGGGTTTGGTTTATTTCATTCTTAAGGCTTCTGAGTTAGTCTTAAGTGTGGTGATACAGTTGGAGTTCACTCAGTGCAGGTGTACATTTTGAAGGTAAGAGGAGAAAGACAAGCTGACTTACTTTCTTTCTAGAAGGAAACAGAGAATCATCTTCCTTTTCTAAGATAAAACAGTGGAATTTGTGTGACATTCACCATAGTCAACATTATTGAGGAACTTTGCAGTTATTAACCTTAGGGTATCTATCTTGACCGTACAATAACTACTCTTGGAAAGTATAAAAGCAAATCAAATGGTATACTGTTTTCCCAGCTTCTTCCTCTTTTTGAAGAAGCCAGAAGTCACCACTGCTGGCGTTCCACTGAAGAAATTTCTGTAACTTTCTTTGAAGCTTTTAGGAAACTTGTCCTTGAAAATTTAATTTTCTCATTGCATTGGCTTCAGCTGGATATCTTTGGCAAAAGTAGAATCTAATCAGAGACTTTTTTTTTTTTTCCAAATCTGAGGTTCTCGTAGGACTCAAATTCACCTCCCTTTTAAAACATGTGATAGTATTAGATAAATCAGAGAGGACCTCCCAGGCCTCTTTTCCAAATTTCTTAATTTAAGGTGGAGTCACTGTCTGTAGTGCCTGAAGAACAGTAAACTGCTTTCTGACTTAGGACATAAAAGACCATGCCACATTATGTTCATCTTGAAAAATTCCATGCCATATTTGCCTCATTGCAAAAGGTAAGTGCTTCACAAAACTATGAGCAAATGCATGTATAAAGGTGTAGAGCAGTTTTTAAAAATTTACCTTTCTTGAACGCACATATAAGTCGTCGTTGTCTTTGAAGCTAACTAATTAGAGGTAAGATATACTTTTGCTGTATTACTGCTACATGAAAATCTGAAAGGCTGGTGGATTTCAGAAAACACTTAGCCATCTGATATATGTGTAATATCGCAAATACGCTAGAAATATCACAGCCTAAAAAGTGCATAGTAAGTGTGCCAGAAAACCAGCTTGAATTTGATGTTATCATGTCTTATTCATGTGATTAAATGCTGTAGTATCTAAGAAACAACAACATGCTTTTGTCCGCTTCTGTTGCACTCCTGCTTAGACATAAGGATCCCCGCTAATGAAATGCCTGCTTTGTGTTGTACAACACATAGATACTGATACGATACGTAATTGGACAATACGTATCACTTCTTATGGCTAAGTCTTGTACTTGCTCTAAGACCTTTTGATTTCCGAGGACTCTACAGAAGGAGAGTTCTGTCCAGTTTGAGCTAGGTGATTGTTTTGGGGATTATGAGAACTCAGTAAAATGCCCCTGGGAGGAACGTGTTGGACAGAAGGATGAGTGTACCTAATAGTCATAGTTTACAATCATGAAAACACTGTTGTAGTTTTGCTGTTGTTACAGTTTTGCTATTCTAGAGTAGCTCAGCTGAAATTTACCGATCAGCTGAAAATCAGCTGAAAGCTACTGATTTATTCAAATGTAAATGAGAACCAAACCTAACCACTTTTTTCCAACTAATTACTGAGAATAGTAACACAGTTTTGTCAGTGTAAGACAAGTATAAATGGAAAGGCATAATTTTGGCGTGACATGATAAAAATTGTTTTCATATTTTAAGTCTAGGTTGATACGCACGTATCTTTCTTACTTACGTGTTCTTTCATGGCAAAATATTACGCAAAGCTTTCTGACAGTTTTTTTTCTTCCATCAAATGTTAACAGAGCCACCAGATATACATATCATTGGGAATCTGCCCTTCAGTGTTTCAACTCCTCTAATCATCAAATGGCTTGAAAATGTTTCCCGAAAGGATGGACCTTTTATTTATGGCAGGACACAACTGACGTTGACTTTTCAGAAGGAAGTTGCAGAGGTAAGATGTTACTGTTTTCCCAAAATTTTAAAGATGCTAAATTGAACAAAAATTTGTTTACGTGCAACCTTTTGTTTAAAAGTACAAAACCAATCTTGGTTGGCTTTAAAAAGAGAGGAAAGACTTCTAGTTTGTGTGCTATAAATTATGAATTTTAATGTTGAATTAATAATCTCTGATCCTTTCAGAGCACTTTTTTTTTTTTTAAATGTCTTATGGAGGGATATATTTCCTTGAGGTACTTAATCTGTGCTTTTCTGGAGTCTGATTTGTTCAACATGAATAGATTCCACAGAACTCTTATGTTTTTAAATATCTTTCTTCTCTCACAGTCATTCATGCATCGTATCATCAGTCTGTTTTTCCTTACCTTTCAATCATCTCAAGAATTACACTCATAATTATTTCCTTTGCCCTCTTAATTAAAATAATCTTTAAAAAATATAACTTCCTTGAAATAAGGAAAAATGGAAGGTTAGCATTATTTCCAGTTGTGATTCAACACTTAAAACACAGGGGGTGTTCTGTCAAGACCATGGAAACTGACTCTGGCTTTTTTGAATGAGACTTGATATCAGAATTATTAATGGATTGCTGCCAGTGTTATGTGTGTAAAAAGGCATCATTTCAGTTCTGTCACAGCGAGTCCAAGAGCAAACTGAGGTTTTACTTTGTCTCAATAGTTAGATTCTCAAAGAAGGCCAAACTGATGAGCTATGTAGTAGTGTTAATTCTACATCAGTTGATAACAGGTTGACTTACTCCACAATCCTTTCAGACTTAACAGTTTACCATTGCACAAAACGTATCATATCATAGAGGCTGGAAGACTTTCTGCTTTGTATTTATGAAAAGCAGTATGGCTTCTTACCAGCATCTCACTTGCTTTTAAAAAAAAAAAGGAAAAGGAATTGCACATCAGTCTGAAAACTGAATTTCCATCTAATTACTCCAGTGTTCATAAATATCTGGTTTTCTGTGTGCAACCTAAATGTGTGCGCTGTTTTAATTTTAATCTTTCACAGTGAAAATTCTACTAGGAAAATTTTGCTGTGTTTTTTTCAGTACGCAATTCAGTAATAATTATATATGCAAGTGGCATGTCTGCTGTCATTTTGGGATCATAGAAAACCATATTGTGCTGTCCTGAAACCAGGACACCCTGCAATCAAGATTCAAGACAAGTACTGGAGTATTTCCAGTAGGTGGCTCTAGAGAACTCCAGGGACAAACATTTAGTATGAAATAAGTTAGATTTCTTAATTCAGTTCTGAGCTCGTGTGGTTTCAGACATTAAAAAATCCAGATCTGTTTTCCGAAAGGACTTCATGTCATTTGAGATTATACCTCGTTGCAAAATACGGCTAATGGACTGTGATATAAAATGCAAAGTGATGATGGGTAAGATGCAAAGATCTGTGACAGCAGTGAAAAAAATGGCCTAGCACTGTGTGAGAGCATAAATGCACTCTGTGCTTTATATAGCTGTAACTAGCTGCATACACCATTGGTGACACGCAGATTATAGTACTTCTGCACCCAGCACAGCTCAATGAGATGCAAAATACAATGCACTCTTAAGTGCCTTGTACTTAGAAAGCTGAGAAGTTAGAAACACTAGGAAATTGAATTATATGTTGTTCAAGGTCATGCAATGAATCAGTGTTAATTGTCGTTGAGTTTACATTCTGGGATCTCTTGATTCTTGTTCTTACATCTATTTAAACACAGATCTTCCACTGAAGACAAAATTGTTCGTAGTTTCTGGTTTGCATTTCCATAATTGATTTGACATAATAAAAAACTTGTTTGACAGAGACTACTTTGTTTTATGATTGGGAGAAACAACAATAATCAAAATCTGTGTCTTTTTTCTGGCCCTCTGAAGTTGCTGAAGTTAACCATTGTAATTTGGCATATACAGGAAAACTATGATATAGTTGCCATCACAGAAACATGGTGGGATGACTCGCACAACTGGAGTGCTGCAATGGATGGCTATAAACTCTTCAGAAGGGATAGGCAAGGAAGGAGAGGCGGTGGGGTAGCCTTGTACCTTAGGGAGTGTTTTGGTTGTCTAGAGCTTAATGATGGTGATGATAGGGTTGAGTGTTTATGGGTAAGAACCAGGGGGAAGGCCAACAAGGCAGAGATCATGGTGGGAGTCTGTTATAGACTACCCATCCAGGATGAAGAGGCAGACAAAATATTCCATAGGCAGCTGGGAGAAGTCTCAGAATCGCTAGCCCTTGTTCTCGTGGGGGACTTCAACTTACCAGATGTCTGCTGGAAATACAATACAACAGAGAGGAACCAGTCTAGGAGGTTCCTGGGGTGTGTGGAGGATAACTTCCTGACACAGCTGGTGTGTCACCACACCAACTAGGGAAGGTGCCCTGCTGGACCTGTTTGCGAACAGAGAAGGACTTGTGGGTGATGTGACGGCTGGAGGCTGTCCTGGGCGCACAGCTATTGAAATGATAGAGTGATCGGTTCCTGGAGAAGTAAGGAGGGGGGTCAGCAGAACTGCTGCCTTGGCCTTCCGGAGGGCAGAGTTTGGCCTGTTTAGGAGCCTGGTTGACAGAGTCCCTTGGGAGGCAGTCCCAAAGGGCAAAGGAGACCCGGAAGGCTGGACATTCTTCAAGAAGGAAATCTTAAAGGTGCAGGAGCAGGCCGTCCCCATGTGCCAAAAGATGAGCCAGTGGGGAAGAAGACCGGCCTGGCTGAACAGAGAGCTTTGGCTGGAACTCAGAGGGAAAAAAAGGGAGAGTTCATGACCTTTGGAAGAAGGGGCAGGCAACTCAGGAGGACTGCAAGGATGTCGTGAGGTTATGCAGGGAAAAAATTAGAAGGGCCAAAGCCCAACTAGAACTTAATCTGCCATAAAAGACAATAAAAAATGTTTCTATAAATACATTAGCAACAAAAGGAGGGCTAAGGAGAATCCGCATCCTTTATTGGATGCAGGGGGAAACATAGTGACAAAGGATGAGGAGAAGGCTTGGGTACTTAATGCCTTCTTTGCCTCAGTCTTTAATAGTAAGACCAGTTGTTCTCCGGTTGCCCAGCCCCCTGAGCTGGAAGACAGGGATGGGGAGCAGAATGAAGCCCCCATAATCCAAGGGGAAATGGTTAGCGACCTGCGACACACACAAGTCTATGGGGCCGGATGGGATCCAGCCAAGGGTACTGAGGGAGCTGGCGGAAGGGCTCACCCAGCCACTT